AGTCCATGAAAAATCAGAATCTAAATGTAAAACAGAAAGAAGAGCAGACACAGTGCAATAAAATGAATCTGAAGGACAGACTGGGACACCGAGAGCTACTGTGCTAGGCTAGGATTGGTGAGTGGGTTTGAAGCAGGGCATTACGCATAGGAAAGATTTAACAGAAAGATCAAAGAATATTAGAATGTAAAAAATAAATCGATACAAAAGAAGAGGAATATAAAAGAAAGTTGAATAGTAAATGAAATACCAAAGGGAACAAGTGTTATGCAATGAGAATAATAAATTATATTCTATTATGTGGGAACCTCTGGTACTCTCTATTAACAATAGGTAAACACGCATAACCCATCACTCATCTTCTGAATATTAATAATCTGTCCAACCTTTCTCCCTCCCCAAATGGTTGTCCTAGATCTTTAGTTCTATTAGATGATAAGTTCCTCTGAGAAGACAATATGTGTAAGATATAATGTGCTATATAAATATTACTCTCAAGTTAATGACATTGCAACAAATGTATAACAATATCATATAAGGATCATTTCTTCTGTTACGGTGTTCTGGTGATCTAATACTCAATGGTAATTGGATGGATTCCTTGCATTTTATTTCTTTGTGCTTTCTTGCTAGGTGGTTGGATTTTTTTTTTTTTTTAATTTTGTGGTGTGTTTCTCTCCTCTTTTTTTTTCCTTTTGGAGGTGGGGGGACGGGAATTGGTTACTATTTAAAACCTGTTTCCCTTAAATATAATACTGGAGGGAAGTTAAATGAGTTTGGCCACATGAATCACATCTGCAGGAGCATAATGTTTATATGGATACTGCCTGCTGTTCTATATGGAATTTCAAGTAGCCGAAGAATAAAATCTGTCATGAAGTCAATGAATCTTGATGTTATTTTAACACTGGTGCTTCATTTAGCTCGATGCCCTGCAGGCATGTCCTGCTGTGCTGCCAGTGCTCTGGAGCATTGTAGAACATGAGAGGCAAAAGCAAAGCAGAAGTGGTGCACCAGAACAGGACATACAGATTGACTGTTACACCAGAAACACAAGGTCTTCAAAACCACAAAGGAATGAAGAAGTCAGATCCTTGAATATCCCAGCATTTCAAGCCTTTGCTATTGGGCTTATCTCAATAACTTGAGCCAGATCATCTGCTGGAGTTATGGCAGTTAAAAACTGCTGAGGTTAGCTCTATCTGTTCACCAGAGGGTAACAGCCTTACTTATACTGAGAATGACCTTACTCTGCAGGTATCACAGTCTCACCTTATGTGGAGAAGTTAATTTTATCTGAAGGATAGAAAAGTAGAAAATATGCAATCTTTTGTTGTCAATACTTTTCTAAACTAAATGCTTTTTTCACCTTTTCAGAGGATCTCATCTGCCCTTGAAATGCGATCCACACTATTCCTCACTCCCATACTCTTGCTTCCTCAGTGTAGTAACACAAAGCACAGAAAAAGCCTGTGAGAGATATGGTTAAATGGCAATATTATATATAGGGTTTGGGTTCACAAGAGATTCGACCGTGGGTCAAAGATTTTTGCAGTAGATTACACTTTTTTTCCATTTCCCTCTAGCTTACATCTACACACTAATGATTATTTCCCCATGGTTTTTAAACTGACGGTCTCATCAAGACGGCTCCTTTTACTTTGTGAAGTTCTCTTTCCAGTCAGTGGCTTTACAGAACAATATTGCTAAAGCTGTAATTAGTAGTAAGGGCTAAATTAGGCTCTCGAGTAAAGATGTAGTTACCCCACCGAAGAAAGAAAAGTTACTCAAGATTTGCACTGGTATAGTACGCAACTGAATTTGGCCTCAGCTTAAATTGCCATAAGCAGACAGCTGAGTTCTTCTGTCACTTCTTTGCTATTAAACTTAAATTAAATTCAGCACTAACTTTCCTAATTAAAAAGATGTAATGGATTGCATAGAACTTTGATAGAATTAGAAGTTTTTAGAATGTTTTATATCTAGGTTCTACATATGTGTGACAAGACAAATTTGAATGTAGATGGGTCAAGGACATTAATTTATCATATTTAACCAAATCCAAGATGATTTCAAATTTAAGATGAGTGCCCCACCCCTCCCAGTAATTAAATCCTATACATGGAAAATGTATAAATGTTACAATTTTCCATGTAGAAAATCTAATTATTGGAGGATCATCTTAAATTTATTCTCCCCTCCCCCTGTTCCAGTGGGGAAAGCAGCAAGGAGGCAAGCAGTAGCAAGGGAGTCAAGCTGCCTGAATGCCACCCTTTGCCCCCCCACACCTTGCTCTCTACTGCCTATCCCTCTCTCACCACTTGCCCTCTCTGTTGCCTGTGCCCTTAGTGCTCCCCATCATGACTGTGCCCCCTAGTGCCTTTCTCCCCACAACCTCCCTCCACTACCACTTACCCTCAGGCATGGTTTTGGCACTAGCTCAGGCAGCAGCAGTTGCAGTAATGACAACTCTAGCCTCAGCCCTGGTCCTGGGACAGGACCAGATCAAAGCCAGAACCAGGGTTGAAGCTGCTGCCACTGCCACTACTGAACTGGGTTGAGGCTGGAGCTACCATGTGCTCCACTTTGACAGTTGGAGCAGGGCCATAGCTGTGACTAAGGGTAAAAGGTGGGAAGAGTAGCAGTGGAGAGCCAGGTAATGGGGCAGTAGCTGTGGCTCCGCTGGGTCAGGGCCAAAGCCAGACCTGCAGCAGCCCCCTACCCCCTGCCTTATACTCAAATCACAGACAAGGGACTATTCTCCACCCCTTCCCCCATATTGAATTGGGAAGGGGGTGGGACTCGTCTTGAATTTGAGTAAATACAGGATTATCTGAGTGTTCTGGAATTAACAGTGCAAACACCAATATATAAAACTCAATACATAAAGTGTTCCTCCCATAGTCCCTTATGCTGGTTTAATCAATCCCATCTCCTTTTGATAGATGGTATCAAAATATGCATCTCTTTCCTGAAAAGTCTAAGATTAAAATGTGCAGCTACTAAAAGTGAACAGAACAGACCTCATCAGCTGTGCCGCATATTTTAATCGCAAAATATGAACTGATTTCAAACGAATATGATACTTAGTCAAAGACATTCAACATCCATCACTTACCTGAGTAACACCCTAACATTCACGTACCCTCCTTCAAGTCCAATGTGAGTAGTTATTATTAAACCTAATATTAGTAGAAATCTAGGCAAGTCTTGCACAATTGTGCAAAACAGTTTATCGATAAGAATAAATAAATGCAAAATAAAGGCAAAATGACTAAAGAATCTAAATTAATTTGTATATTTAAAGAAATCTGAAAAGGGATGATCCAAATTTTGCTAATCTTCAGAACTGTACATATTGGTTGTGTCCCCATGAGCAGGGGCATGCAGTTGCCATGGGGGAAAAAAAGCAGTGGTACAAATTCATGCCACTGCTTTTTGCCCCAGCATACACCCCGAAAAATGGAGTTAGCACTGGGAAAAGTGCTGCAGATTAGGTAAGGGGAGGATGAGGCAAGCACCTGGGCTGACCCCAGCAGTCTTACCTGGGGTCCTCCTGGGGCTGCAGCAGCAGTGATCCGGGTGTGTGGAGCCTGGCCAGGCTATGGTTTTGGGCAGGGCATGCTGCTGGTACATGTACCCACACACTTCTTTTCCACATGTTTTTTTTTTTTTTTATACCAGGATTTCCCAGTATCTAAATTTGGTTCCAAATCATGCTTGCAGGGTGTGTTTTGCAGCACCTCAAAAGCCTTTCAGGCACCACAAAACGAATGTGCATGCTCATGTAAACACAGCCATTGTGTGCAAGCTGATAAGATAACCTTCCCTTATATAAGAGGCTGTCAATCGGTCAGAAGCATAGGACTGATTTACACCAGATCAAATCCCTCAGTTTCAGCAGAACTGATGCTGAGGTATCTTTCGACCATTCAGTCATAAGTACAGTACAGTTCAACAGTGGCAGGCTTTCTGCCAGTACCATAATTATGCTGTTAACTAAATATAGCAGGTGTTCACAAGTGCCCCAGTCATACCATCAAAGCCCTGCAGGAAGACCTTCACATCTCATGGAGTCTTTCTGTCAACCTGGATATGGCTACAGAACTGGACCTTCAAGAACTAATTCTTGGACAATGGACTTGTAACTAAAATGACTTTGAGAACTTTGTTGGTGAGTTGCAAAAAAGTATTGTGTGAACTCAGCAGCAAGAGGGAAATGTGATACTGAAGAGAAGATGTGATTCATGTATAAAGACTTAAAAGGCTGACTGCAAGAAAAAAAAAAACTTTTTAAAAATCAATGTTCCATGGTATGTGTATCAGTAAAACGTTAAGCATTCATTACTAAGACATGCTGTGTCTAAAATACATTCTGAAACAAAGCTAAAAAGGCTAGACAAAGTGGATTTTTATCCTAAAAAATCATACAAATTAGAATGAAGGCCATTTAGATTGTCTAGCTCAGGGGTAGGCAACGTTTTTTGGCCGGATTGCCAAAAAACACCATAATGCCTACCTCAGAAGGTGCCGGCATAGCAGAAAAACAAAATGAGGGCAAGGGGTATATGGCAGGATGCACTGCTTGTGCCCCTTGCCCCCTACCCAGAGCCCCTGGCCCCCAGCCCTGCTGCCCCTTTCCCCCCACCCAAAGACCCTGCCCCCCAGCCCACCACCCCTACTGCTCCTTACACCCACCCAAAGGGCCCATCCCCCAGCCCTACTGCTCCTTGCCCCCCACCCAAGGCCCCTGCCCCCCAGCCCAGGCTCCGTGGCTGCGACAGCTACCCCGGCTCTGGGTAGCTGCTGGAGCCCGGGCTGCTCCCAGCAGGGCTTGCAGCATCCCAGCTGCCTGCTGGGAGCAGCCCAGGATCTCGGCTGGCAGCAGCTCCCCAGAGCCGGGGCTGGCCGTGGCATGCCAAGCAAAATGACCTCGTGTGCCTAGACCCCTGGTCTAGCTCATCTCTTCATCAGTTGTCAAGCTTGTTCCCAAAGGATACTAAAAAGGTCTGTTCTAGGAAGGTGCAAGGAAAGCCTCTTCTTACATGTAGCCATCTCCCAAATTTTGGTAAAGTTCAAGAGGCCACCAGTACTGACAATCCACTAAAAGAAACCATCATCACAGAAAAAAAAAAGTTATTGGTTTGTTACTTGATTAGAAAAAAAAACCCAAAACATTTTGTACTTCCTTCAGGGGAAACTTATAATAAGAGAATACATGTAATACAACTATTCAAAGGTAGTTCATATTAACCGTGGAGATAGATTCAGAAACAGAAGCAAGCAGAAACAATATAGCTAAAGGCATATAGCAAAAATATACCTATAAAAATAGGAATAAATTAAACAAGTAGTAAAAAATAAAATAGCAAATAAGTAAACAGAATGCCAATATTTCAACCCCCAGTAGCCAAGGGCTTAACAAAAACAGGATATAATTTCTCCTTTAATGCCTGCAGCATATAGGAGAAACTACAACATAGCATCCAATATTAGTAACTCACACTGAAAGCTCTAATATATCAGTGAAGTCATTCCATATTTCCCTTGTTTGCAAAATTAATTGTTCAAGGCTAAAAAGTGAGGGACCTTCCAGAAAGAAAACACAGCATGGTTTACACACAATATTGACATCTTTATTTATTTGCTAAGGTTCCCTCTGTCTTCTGAATGCATGTTCAATCAGTTCTCAGTTCAGTAAGAGGCAGATCAAGATCCTTCTTCCATATGAGCTCAGTGAATGCACTGAGAGACCAGCAGAGACCCAGGACAACTTTGCATGTGTTCTCTGTACCTTCCCCGGCAGGTTACTCCCTCTCCCACCCACCCCCATAGTTCTACAGATAGTAGGGTGACCACCTTTGAAAATGGAAAGGTGGCACACCTGGAGCAGAGACAAGTGCAGTGGGGGTGGGTGCGAGCTGTGGGCTTAGAGCTCTCCACCTTGCTACCTTTTCCCAGGGAGCCCTGCACTGTCTGCACACCCCCCCACCACCCAGAAGCAGCAGGGGACATACATAACTCCACACCACCACCTCCTCCGCCCCCACTGCTGCCAGGCAGGCAAGGGGCACCTCACCATGGTGGTGTGCAGCTCCTGGGGGGAGGGCAGCAGGGCAACAAGCCCAAAGCCCACAGCAAGCAGCCTGTATCTGCCCCTACCCTACACACAAATTTGGGGGGCATGTGCCCCCCTCTTTCCTCCACAGGAGTTCCCTCCCCCGGACTCATTCACCACCCCGGCTGGATAATGCCCTCAGCCTCACTCCCTCCCCCTCACTGCGGGGGCTTCAATCTGCCCACCCCCCATTTCCCCTCCCCCTCCCATAGACTTACCTGCAAGGAGCTGCTGTCCACACTGCCTGGCTGTATTCCCTGGCACATGCATGTCTGCAGGTGCTCATATGCATATTACCCCCTGCGTCCCACTCCAAGAAGTCCTAAGCAGCCCCTTGCAGGCTGGAATGCTGCCAGTTCCCTTATTTACAATACAATCTGTTCCCTTATTTATCCTCATTCTCTTATATCCTGGTACAGCAAAACCATTCTGCAAAAGGCAAGAGGAACAGGCCCAAAATCCAACATCAACTTTCAAAAAAGAAATGTTTGAAAACAAAAGAAAAGTGTGTCAAAGAGTTCTACTTACCCTCTTCAGGGAAGGAGCCACTAGAATCACAGAGGGGGCCAGATGAAAAGAGGAAAAGGAGAGAAAAATTCATGCCCACGAACAGACAGTTGCAAGGGAAGCAGACAAACAGATCTTAACTCCCTATTCCAGAAAGCATCCTAGGATGACCCCACTCACTGCTAAAGGCTCCAGTCAGAATGCAGTGTCTTGAACAAAATCAAGCTCTCCTTTCCACTTCCAGTAGCTCTCCCTTTTCACATCTGCAAAATAGTTTTCTAATCAACACAGTTTGGGGAGGGAAGATATCCTCACTTATTTCACTCTATGTTCCAAAGAGACTGAGCTAAGGGCAACACGAAAATGTAGTGTCCCAGGGACGGAAAAAGGGAAACCACCACCGGCTGCAATACTCAGGAGTGTGTACGTTCTGGTACATGTTCTTCTGGCCTCAAAAATGAGCATACATACACCCAATTCCTTCAGAAGCAACAGTAGCTCCTTCTCACTCAATCTTACCCTCCAGAAATTGGGTCCTGTCCCCCACAGCAGAGCCCAAATAAGCTGAGGACCAATCATCTACTCCTTTTCCTGCTTGGCCCACCAAGTACATCACTCTTCCTGAAATACTGCAGGGATGCTGTGATTGCCCTTCACCATTCAGGCTGACCATACTGAAGAGGAGCCTGTGCAATGATTCCTTATGCGTCCCCCTGAGGCATAGCACACTCACGCAAGGTGCCTGACACTGGAATTAATCTGGTGCCCTCTGCTGCTACCCATAGGAAACTACAGGCTGTACCTTTGGGGTGGAAGAAACTCATTTCTTCAGTAATTTCTTCTTATCAAAAAACCCAAGTGTTCTCAAAATCTGACAGCTCGAAGCTTTTTCCATTACATGAGACTTGGGTGGGACCCAGTTCTCATTTTTTTTGCAGGATTTCTCATACGTTTTAATTGATATTTTACCAGAAAGGTATACAAGTCATCATTTGGATTATTTTCTTACTGTTGCCTCCAGGTTTGTTTATATAAAAATACATATTCTTCCTGAAAACATTTTGCTTGGGGAAGTGAAATATGTCCGTAATGATTTCAAATTACAGCATTAGTAAAAGATGGTCAAAGGACAGTGCTGCAAAAATATGGGGGATAAATCAATAACACTTTTTTTTTTTTAAACAAACACCACTTTTCAACTACAGGCAGACAAAGTTATTTTGGTAAATGTGATCTCTTTTATTAGACCAACTAAATAGTTGGAAAAATTGTTCTTTGCAAGCTTACAAACAACAGTTTTCGATATATTTTTTTCTATGCAAGTGAGCTCTGTTCACTTTGTCCCCAGAGCCACTGGTTGAACCTGAATCAGGACTCCATTCTCACATTCCCTCACTAGAGACAGCTCTGCCATGGTGCATGGGTCCCTCTGAGGCTGCAGGGGGAAAAAAATGTTCAGCCCAGATTCAGAGCTGATTCATTGCTAAGAAGAGACACAAGCAAAGCATTTACAGCCCAGTCACACAGACAAGGTGCAAGCACTAAGCCTTCCAACATAAAGACTCCAAAGAAGCACTATCCCTCCACTCTGGTTGCTCTCTTTTCTTTACCCCTCCCTCCCCCTGAAAGTAACTAACGGTCAGAGGAGAGCTGCAGCAACCCCTGAATTTGCAGGTACACTTGTGAAAGACCAACGGCATAAATAGATATACAGCAAACTACCACTCAGGTGCCAGAGTCAGATGTCAAGTTGCTGTTTTTAAGGCTCAAGCTCTGGCACCTGCACCAAAATGATAACCTTATGAGACTGGTTGGCATTTCTGTTATCACCCTCTTTCTGTACTACTCCATGCTCCCGTTCACTTTTTCTGGCTCCTGGGAACACAACCCATAGGTTTGCACATGGGTAGATCCAGGATAATATAAAAGGGGGTGCAAGAGCAGTAACTTGCATGGCAAGAGTGGCTGCACCCCTGCTCCAACAGAGTACTGGGTATTATTACCAGGAGCATCATGTGCAAATCAAGGGAAGTGATTCTTCCTATTTAGCACTAATGAGGCCTCACCTAGGATTCTATGTTCAGTTTTGGGATCCATACTTCAGGAAGGATATGGACAGACTGGAAAGTATCCAGTGCAGTGACAAAGATGATTAGAGGCCTAGGAAGCCTGACTATGAATAAAGGCTGAAAAAAAACTAGGGTATTTAAGTTGGGAGAAGAGAAGTTGAAAAATTCCAAGGTTACCTTGTCTTTGAATATGATATGGTTCTTTCCAAGACAAATTCTAGAGCCATAACAGCAAATCATATAATCATAGAAAATTAGGGTTGGAAGGGACCTCAGAAGGTCATCCAACCCCCTGTTCAAAAAGCAGGACCATCCCCAGCTAGATCATTTCAACCAGGGCTTTGTCAAGCTGGGCCTCAAAAACCTCTCAAGGATAGAGATTCCACAACTTCTCTAAGTAACCTGTTCCAGTGCTTCACCAACCTCCTAGTAAGAAAGTTTTTCCTAACCTCCAACCTCAGCCTCTCTTGCTGCAATTTGAGTCCACAATTTGAGACCACTGCTCCTTGTTCTATCATCTCTCACCACTGAGAACAGTCCAGCTCCATCCTTTTTTGGAACTACTCTTCAGGTAGTTAAAGGCTGCTATCAAATCCCCACCCTTAGTCTTCTCTTCTGCAGACTAAATAAGCCCAGTTCCCTCAGCCTCTCCTCAGAAGTCACGTGCCCCAGCCCTCTAACCGTTTTCATTGTTCTCATCTGGACTCTCTCCAGTTTATCCACATCCCTTCTATACAGGGTGGGCCAAAGATTGACCACAGTACTCCAGATGTGGTCTCACCAATGCAGAATAGAAGAGAACAATTACTTCCCCCGATTTGCTGGCAACGCTCCTACTAATGCAGCTCAATATGGCTTTTAACCTTCTTGGCAACAAGGGCACGTTGCTGATTCATATCCATCTTATTGTTCACTGTAACCCCCAGGTCCTTTTCCGAACAAATGTTGCCTTAATGCCCAAATAGTCATTGAGTGGGTAATATGTTGGCAAAAGATGTATTACCCTTTATCTGTCATGAGAAAGGTAACCAAAATGCTATCTTACTGAGAAAAACAACTCCCCCTAGTGACAGCTAGATCAATCAATCAAACAAACAAAATATATTCTAATATATTCTAATTAGGACATGTTTAACTATATAAAGCTAATAATTTACCGCATTTTTATTCAAAATGATTTAATTACATTATTTTATGGATAAACTTGGTACTCTTGTCTCTACCTGAGATAGCATGGTTTACAGCTATGCATTACTGTTAGTCCCATGAGAGCTGCTGTACTAATCTACAAAGTTATGTCACTCTTGGTTTCTTACTGAATACTTTGTCCCTCTGTGGACAAAGGTACTGTACTGCCAAGGTGCATACCACTTGATTGTTAATGGCAGTGTTAAGAAATTATTTCTATAAGCTCACGATCAGGCAACCAGGTTTGGCCATCCCCATATGAACCCCAGCTCCTGTGTGACCATGCCTCATCCTTAAAGCCAGCCAGAAAGAACTGAGCAGACTGATAACGTTCTGCTCTACATGTCTTACTCAGACCTTGAGTGGCCTGTGATAAAGCCAAGCCTTTATTCCAGATGGCTGACCCCGGTGTGAATCTTCAGCTCTTGAGTTTTGGTTCACTTTATAGACTTGGATTCTGGCCCAGAACCATGCTGGCAACCCTGCTATAACCAGGACTTTAGACTGCCTTTTTTGTGATAATAGCTAGATTTTTAAAGTATTTAAAAACCTTAAAATATAGACAGATGCCAGGGTTTTTTCCAAATGCAACTAAATAAATCACGGACCTAGTCCTCATTAAAATGAATTGTATTAGGTTCCTAACTTTAGTGCTTTTTGAAAACCCATGAGGTGCATAGGCACTATATGCATCTTTTAGTGCCTAAATATTTCTGAAAATCTAACTTTAAGTGCCAAGTGTGGACATTCAAAATACTGAGGGATTGAAAAGACCCATATAACACCACATCCATTATATTTCTGTTTTCAAGGTTTTATTTGGCTAAAAAAAACAAACTTCCAATGCCAATTTTCAGTTTTATATCTGTGTCAGATATCAGCACCACTGGCATCCTTCTGTTATGCATTAAACTCCCAAATCTGTTGTTTTGCACACCATGGCCCTGGAGCATTCAAAGCGTAATGCTTCCATGTAGTCTATGTTACATTTAACAAGTTTGTTTCTCTTGCCTATCAAACTTGCATATGATCTTCACAGACTATATTGTATCACCATTTCAACTTAAAACAAAGTGCTAAAGGCGCCTGCCCTAACACTGCCTTTCTTTCAGTACCCTCTTGACAGAATGAAGTGCTCAGTGGAAAGAAATGTCCCATTAAAAACTGTCTAAATAAAACTAAGCTAGGCTCCTTTCCTGATAATGTTTTTATCATTACACAAGGTAGAGAGAGAGATTGTTTAACAGAGCTATAGAATTTCTGTAAAAAAAATGTTTATTTAAAACCTTATAGAAGCCTGCTTATTGAACACCTTAAAAAGCTAAAGTGGTAAAATTTATAGCTTTTTAACAAAAATAAAAAAGCCTGTAGCTGAAGCCCTCTCTCATATATACAATTGCTTATTTTAACGATCTTTGTTTCAATAAACATATTTACCAAAATTTACTATTAAAATAAGAAATTTGAGATTTTTTTTCCTTCAGCTCAATACCATCTTCAGTGCAATTTTTACATTGTGCCTTATTTTCTTCCAAGAAACACACACTTGCAGGATATCTCTTCTTGAGATATAGAACTCTGGTTTCTGCTTTACACAATTGATATATCCACTCTGTTTGCTGACTTAAGGAAATGGCTGACTGATTCCTTCAGAAATTCACCAGCCTGTAGAAGTCCTTCCAGAGGGGGAAAAAAAGAGAGACTAGCCACGCTTCACAAACTTGCGGAGACAAGGAGCTTGCTGACAATGGGTCCGCTCTCCTGGGTAACGATTTTATACAGTAAAATTCTTACATTTCCTCCCTGCTTTCTTTACATCTACTTGTTACATTTGCAAACCCCAGGAGTTAATCTAACCCCTAGTCATGTCTTGTCCCCTTGCGGTAACAGATTGGAATACAAGCTTCACAATTGCTTCTCAAAGCATCCTATTTATAAACGCAACACATCTCATTAATTTGGACTTTGCTAAATCACCATACTAGCATTTGTTAATTTTAAAAATATTTCAATTTCCACTTCCAGCAAGCAGAGGGTATAGCCCCATTGTATTAAAAGCTCATCTTGCTTTTGCAATATAGACTACAGTACATTGATTGGTACATTCCAAAGTCTTATAAATGATTAACTGAACTGCATCTGTTGCAATAAAATGAACCACGTGCATTTTAGGATGCATTATTCCTGCCTCCTTTAATGCATTTGTTTACTTGCTTGCAATTTTGCAAAAGTCACTAATTTGCAATAATTCTCCTAATAATTAATTAGTATTGTCTGTACCTGACTACCCTGCCAAAGGAGCAGTTGTATCTATCCATTGTAGCCTCTATAACCTCTTCTCTCCCCATCACTGTTTTCAGTTAGCATCTATAGTAGAGAATACTGGATGATGGGACAGGAAAACTTTCAACTAAGACTCCAAACAGTCTGATGATAACCAAATGCTGTTACTGCCTGATGGACCCTATTGAT